CGCTTCTTGACATTTGACCTTTTTGTTGTGTTTTAAAACTACTCAATTCTTTGCTGCAAGGTAGCTTTTTCCTATCAGTTGGTTGCCTTCTGGTTTGTGGTGTCCTGTTTGTCTTCTGCATCCTCCATTGTTCCAATCTCGCCTCCATAATCTCTACAAATTTTAATCAGCTTCTTAATTTGTTATCATATTTTTTTTTTATTAATGCATTGATTTAATGTAAGGACATACTTCTCACTTATGCTGTTTCACAATACAGTAGAACCCTTCCTTTGGGACACCCCTATAAGGAGAAGCATTTTTGGACCACAAAATGAAGGTAAGTACATAAAACACAGCCAAACCCTATTCAGGGGACAGCACCTCTATTGGACATCCTAGTAAGGGGACACTTTTATTTTGGATATTCTTCTGTAGTACAAACAAAATATTACCATGTATTGTTGATTTATTCAAAAAACAATTTCATAAGTAGTTAATAAAACAATACAATAAATCACTGGCAAACAGTGATTTGAAGTATTAAATCATTTACAATACAGTGAAGAATTCCTAATTTCTTAAAATTATTTAAAGATGAAAAAAGAAAGAAAATTTTAATCAAACTAGGTCATGAGTGCCATCTAGAGGTGCATAACCATGATACTGTAAAGGTTTTTAATTGCGCGGAGGATATCTACAAAATCAGCTCACATTTGGACGGAAATTCGCTGAGAAAATAGGTGCGCTGAATCTTAATTGCTGCACAGTTGCATTGGTTATATATTAAGATTTGGTCAAAGCCTAATTTTCGGCAAAATATGCATGGAAATCGGCCCTTATTTTTCAAAATGCACGGACAGACTTATAGGCAAAATTTTTGCGCCAAAGATATATTCCCCACGAGTCTGGTAACCATAAATGTTCTTGCTTCTTTCCAGGTCATACTGTATGTTCTGACTATTGCATCATATAACTAACAGCTGTATAATGAGCATCCTTTCATTAGTGGAAACAAATTTGTCCAACATAGTAACAAAATAATTTAGAGACTTGGAAGGCTTCTTTAATCAATATTTAATACATCTTTGCTTTAATTGATTCCAAAAATGAATATACATACATATATACCTATCTAGGCCTACTGTAAAACCTTGAATTGAAACCCTGGGCTTCATTTCTTTACGAACTTTGCATGGGCTTCCTTGGATTGGATTGGATTTATTCGGTGATAGCCCATGAAAGTCTTAGACTTATTTCCAGTGGGGTCTTTCTGGTGGTGATTGGGCAGTACACCGGGAGATAATCAACTACTGTTTTCCGAAGAGTGTACTGCGTTCTTTAACGTGCACAATGCACATGTAACCAATGGCTTAAACGTCTCATCCGAAAGACAGAGCACTACTTTTAACTTGTATTTCAGCCCTCCAGCTGAAACACAAGGAGAGGCAGTGATGTGAATTGAAACTGGGGACCTAGAGATCTTCACGGTTCAGTGCACACACAGTGGTTACCACCAGATTAGCTGAATGAGAAAGCTGCTCTATCTTTTCGAGATGGGCTTCTTTTCGAGGCTACTTTTGCAAAGTACAGTAAAGGTGGAGGGGGGGGGGCTTCTTTTCAAAATTAATGCTGTAAATTTTGTGAATTTGTACTACTGTATAAAACAATAAATAAGGCAACTGTAACATCA